CGTCGTCAGATCTGCTTCGCGACATAACTCGAAGCAAACCCCGAAGCAATCCCCGAAGCAATCCCCGAAGCAAACCCCCGAAGCAAACCCCGAAGCATGCCCCCAATCCAAACATCCCGGGTTGCCCACGTTATTTCCGGAAATATCCATATAGATCCCAAATTACTATAGTCCTTACTATTGGGAGCCCAAAATGGTACCCATAATTTTGGGAAACCCGATATTTGGGCCTTATTTTGGGATCCCTTCCCACATTTTCCCTTCAGTAAGTTTATGGGAGTTGCTCACAACGATCTGTGCACAGCCTTTTGTAAGCCTCCTGTGGCCCCAGAGGGTTTAGGGTTTAGGGTTTAGGGGCCCCAGAGTCCCCTTAATTTTGAGAACCCCTAAAGCTCTGAACCCTAAACCCTCAACCCTCAACGCCCTGTGATTTTGTGAAACTCCGAAGGTGTTGTAGCTGATGCTCCCACAGCGTAGCTAGTCGCAACATCATGGGGTCCTGGCAGTAGTAAAAGGTCCAAATAGCGTCACCATTGTCCGCTGCTGTTACAGATTGTTGATGGAGAAAATTCCTAAAACCTAAGTCCTAAATCCCTAAATCCTGATTCCTAAAACCTAAAGCCAAAACCTTTCCGCAGAAATTTCAGGTTTCGAGGGGCACGGTTCTAGGGCTTCGGTGGTGCGAAATTCGTTCTATCAACCTGGCAGTTCAGGGGCACTGCTAGCCCCCAAAGTCCTGAACTGCAAGCCTCCTAAACGCTGACTACAGCCTTTAAACCACTTAGAAACCTAAACTCTTGAAGTGCAAGCCGCAAAAAAAAGAGACTAAATGCACACACCATCGCTAGATTCAAAGGGCTGGTGGTTCAAGGGGGGCAGAACATTTCCCTACTCCTCTTTAGTACACATCCCAGAACCCATCCCCCTTGCGGTCTAGGCTTTAGGGCTTAGTGCTTAGGACTTAGGAGGGTTCAGAGTTCAGGGTTTATGCTTTCGGGTGTAGGGACCTGATAAGGACCATGCCGTTGAAAGGCGATGATTACCGGCCCCTTCCATTGGATGCTGCAAGCTGCAGTGGCTCAGCCGAGCTCTGGATTGTGTGTGCTTGCTGGTAAAGGATTAGGGTTTAGGGTTTAGGATTAGGGTTTAGGGTTTAAGGTTTAGGGTTAGAGTTTAGGGTTGGGGTTTAGGGTGGTTTTAGGGTTTAGGGTGTGTAGGGTTGAGGTTCAGCGTTGCGGGTTTAGCATTTAAGGCTTGGGGTTAGGATTCAGGGCTTTAGAGTCGCAACGCATTCCCTCTAGCTCCGGCCCTCAAACATTCATTCACAGCAAAACATGCCCAAAGGGCACGCTAGTTTCATGAATGGGCGCTGCGTTTGTACGACATTTTTCCCAAAGGCCCAAATGGTTCAGATACTCATACCCTAAGCCCTAAACCCTAAACCCTAAACCCTAAAGGACATCCCTTGGGCCCAAAGGCTTCCAAATCGTACTTAGGGGCCTATGGTCCCCCTGGAGTAGATACTTGGAGGTCCATTGTACTTACAACCTACTTAGTAACTGTAGTTATAGCCTAAATATAAGTCCCATAACTACAGTTACCCTAGATATAACTGGGTTATAACTGCAGTTACGAAGTAGGTTATAAGTACAATGGACCTCCAAGTAGAACATGGGGTATATGGGGCATCTTGTTATACTATGCCCAAAGCCATATTCCACCTACTTAAGGGGGACTATAAGTACATACTCTAAACCCCAACCCCGAAACTAAGCATACATCGGCGTGCCAGGCCGCACCGCTTCCTAAATCATTGACATGTAGACACTAGTTAGTACAACAGGTTAGTATGGCATGTAGGGAGTATGTAGGGATTAGATTCCCTTATGCTCTACTACCCTCGAGAAATTAGATCATGCCGTACAATCCTAAACACTATGCTGAAACTATGCACCCAACTCGGTGCTCTCGAGGTCCCAGTGCGCCTGCAAATCCTAAAGCCACTGTAAGGGTTCAAGGGCTTAAATAGGTCTGCTTTCAGGTGCCAAGAGCATTCAACGCAGGGGCTTCTGAGTAGGCGGCTTGATGCAATCCCAGGTTTAGGGTGTTAAGGTACCCCTGGTTTGGAAAGCGCCCAGCCGAATCCACTTCTAAGCTGGTAGACGAGCCTGTTTTTTATATTGCTCATGCGTGATTAGGGGAGCGGTTCTAAACAGTTCAGATGATGAAGTTGTAATTTTGAAGTATGAAGCAACGGTTCCCTGACAATCTCTATTTATGGCGTTAGACGGTCTACTCCCAAGAAAATTCAGCTGAACATTCCAGGTCACCAGTATAGCCACTAAGGCTTATGAAGCCCTGAGCGATCTACCTGCTACCTTAAATTCAAATCTCTCAACCCCAGACCCTAAATGCACATTCCAAACCCTACACCCGAAACCTCTGAATCCTAACCCCTAAACCCTAATTCCTAAATCGTAAACCCGAACTTCTCAATCCTAAAACATAAGCCTGAAATCCTAAGCCCTAATGCCTAAGTCCTAGACCTTCAATGCTAAATCCTGCAAACCCATTGCCAGCATAGCGATCTAAGATCCTAATCATGGGCCCCTACTATGTGCATGTACCTGTTTCCCGGGTCCCTACTATTGACCGCTAAGTGGGTTTCTAGAGGGCTTACAGGGGATGTAATAGGTATTAAAGGACCCCAAGATCAAGGACCCATGCTTGGGACCTCAGACCACATATGCCAACGTCGGCGTATCAGACGTAAATACGACTTATGTAAGGTCATGCTACCCACCCAGTACGCCACCTCAAACTTTCCTATTTCGGTGGAGAACACTAAGCCCTACTTGGAGGTTCAAGGCAACTACAACCCAAGTATAAATCCCCCTTATGAGCCCCTAAGCTCCCCCCAAATTAGATGATTATTGTCTTCCTATCTAACCCTAAATCCGAAATCCTAAACAAAATGCGAAACCCTAAACCCTGAACTCTTAACCCTAAACCCGAAACTCCAAATCCTAAACTCTAAACGCTAAGCCCTAACCTTACACCCCAAAGTCTAAATCCTAAGCACTCTAAATCCTAAATAGCAATTTCCATTTTCTTTTCCAATCTACCAATATGTAACCCCAATATATACCCTATTATATTATGGTAGTTTCCTAAGCCTTCAAACTTAAACAAACCCCTTTAAACCCTAAACCCTAACCCCCTAAACCCCTAAACCCTAAAACCCTAAAACCTTGCCAGCAAGGCTGGTTGCGTGACGGCGGCATTCGCTTCGTGGCTTCGGGTCACCTGCCACTCGCAGGCATTTCTCAGGCTTCTGGGGAGGGCGGGTTAGGGTTTAGAATTTAGGGTTACCTAAACCCCCCAAGTACCCTAAAATTGGGTCTATGTAGCTTTTATTTGGGGATACTTAGGGTCTATAGAGGGTGCTTGGGGGTTCTAGGTAGGGTTTAGGGTTTAGGATTTCGGGGTTTAGGGCTTCGGGTTCAGGGTTTGGGGTTGAGGATTTAGGCCTTAGTATTTACTATTTGGATTAGGTAGGAGTCTGAAGCTTTGATACAGCTAGTACTGACTGGACACTACCCCTAAGGCCCCAAGTATACGCCCAGGCCCACAGGTACCTGTATTGGAATTTCCTTGGGCTTCAGGCACATAGTATATAGGGACCTGGACTCTTTGTGCGGGGTGATTAAGCAGTTCCGCTTTCATTGCAGACTTTTAGATAGCATCTATGAGTTTTGGATCTGGGCCCAGGAAGGGCACAGGGTTTAGCGACGAGGGTTCAGGACTTGGGTTTTAGCGTTGAGGCTTTAGGGTTCAGGGTTCAGGATTGAGGTGTCAAAGGCTTAGCATGCGTCATAGCTTTCGCGTTGCTACTTGTGCTTTTATTAGCACCAGCCTGTTACTATTTTGGGTGACTGTCGCACCTTCGGCGTGATGTTGCTACTATTTAGCATGTTCAACAGTACCCGAATCCCTGGGATGATCTAAAAAATGTTCCCCTACATAAAGCCATAATAACCCCTGTAGAATCCCTATCTAATTCCCCATAGTTTTCTAGGCCCTTTTGCGGGTCTGGGAATTGCTGTTGCTACCATAGTTTGTCATTGAAACCCTCCTGAGCTGAGAGTTCTTGAAGTTGTTCGGAGGGTATAGGCAGGCAGGGGGTAGTACCCAAACCCGTTAAACCCTAAACCCCAACCCCACGGCGCGTAGCCTACGACTCCAGAACACTGCCGAGAAGGTTCACTTCACTTTGAGGCCCGTCTTCAGGGGTTGATCGGGCTTACTTCCAAACCCAAAATCCTACGCCCTAAACCCTAAATCCTAAACCCTAAACCTGCAAAAAGCCGGTAAGGGGGAAAACCGGCCCCCCCATAGGGGACCCAACAATCTTTGTATCATCCCTTGATCTCCCAAGGGTTCCTTCTATAACCAAGGTTTAGGGCTTTGGGCTTAGGGTTTGGGGGTTTTGGGCTTAGGGTTTATATACCTAAACCCCAAAAGTAGTTGGAATAATGGCTTTTACGGCTATTATTATGGGTTTGGGGCCTTTATCTTACATACTTTTGGGGTTTAGGTAGGTCTTAGGGTTTAAGGCTTGCAGGATTTAGGGTAGCTTTTTTTGACTAAGGCCCAACGGAGATGCACCGCTGGTACTGCGCTACGAGGACATGCAGGTTTCATGGTTCCGGTATATTCTCAGAAAACCTGGAACCCAAGAGTAGGTAAAATAATAGCCCCAAACCCCTAAGAATAGCCCAAAAGGCCATTATTCTACATACTTTTCGGGGTTCAGGAAATGGTTCCTGAACCCCGCACCCAAACCGCAAACGTCCGACCCGAAAGCCTAAAACTCAACCAGCATTATTCGGGTGCAATCACTATGTAGCCGTGGTATACTAATCCTCCAAGGCCTATATTCTTCCCAGGACTTTTAAATCTACGAAAGATACATTGCAATGCCCGAGGCCTCAAAAGCTACAAGGAGTACCTAATTCGGGCCATTGGAGTTGTATTTTATTTGGGGGTACTATGGTACCCAATATAGAGTAAGATTATATCCTCCTTTGGGGGTATAGTATTCTATGTACAATTGTTTTTTAATCTTACTAGGTTTAACCACCGAAAAGCACTACTCATTTGGAAGCCTGGGGGCTGCGCTTCCTTCAACTGCATTCTTAATCTTGTTGTGCTGGGGGATTGCCTGCACGAGCTGTTGAAGGTTGGGCTTGTGCAGATGACCTGTTACGTGGCCTTCCGCATGTTAACATGGAACCCCACATATCCCTCTACCGAAGGCTCCAGGGTATGCAATTTGGAAGTGCAGGGCGGCGACCCATAACCCTGAACTTCGAACTTGCCCAAACATTCAACCTAACCATCAACCCTGATCCCGAAACCCTAGGGCACAAGGCTTTAGGGCTTAGGGTTTAAGGGTTTAGGGCTTAGGGTTTAGCGGTTTAGGATTTAGGGTGTAAGGATTTAAGGGTTTAAGGCTATCTCTGTGCAGGACATCACCATTGTGACGGCAGATATCTCTTATGCTGAGAGCGCTCCGCGACTCAAGAGCTTTGTCATGCTCGCTTGGCCATTATGTTGTATAGCGTTGATATTTATATAGAGTTAAATAGTGATAATGGAACATAAAAAGGAAACTACTATTTAGGATCTAGGGTTCAGGGTTTGGCTCATGGCTAGTTGAAGTAGGTGGCTGCTACCTTGGCATGAAGCCTACAAAGTATATACTTATCATATTTTCCAAAACCTAGTTTACGGCTTTTAGCCCAATACTCCCCAAGTATATGACTGCTGTATACTGCCCCTAATCCCTAAACTTACCGTTGGGTTTAGGGTTGGGGGCAGGTTCACGGCCCAAGAGCTTGGCAGTGGAGTACTTAGGAGTTGGGTGTACTGGCCCTACTCTTTGAAAGGGGCCCTTGATGGGGCTCCATGTGAGTAGTATTTTATTTTGGGATACTATGGTACCCAATATAGAGTAAGATTATATCCTCCTTTTGGGGTATAGTATTTCATACAAGGATTATAATCTTACTGAGTTCAACCACAAAAAAAACGCTACTCATTTGGGGGGCTTCAAAAAAAATAAGGGGTGTGTACAGGGTTTACAAGGGCGAAAGGGGGGGAAAAAGGGTTGAGGGTTTAGGGATTAGGGTTGGGTACCCTTCTTGGGGCGGTCCCTCTGATAAGGATTCTGGTAGTTTGGGGTCTATATTGATGTCCCGTATTTGGGGACATCCCTGGGACGGTGAAACCTCGACTTCGCGCCTTAAACCCGCAAGCATCGACCCTCACACCCGTGACCTTTGTGAACGACTGCCAGTCTCCACTGGTCCCAAATTTGCTGCATACCCTTTACCATGGCCATAAGTTGTTTTTTTTCTCCGGTTTCCTGTGATAAGGAATGTCTAGTATATGGTATACATCGAGGGCTTAGGGTTTAAGGCTCAGGTTTGAGGGTTAAGAGCTTATACAGTCCAGGGTTTAAGGTTTAGGGTTAACTGTGTTGCTTGGGTTGAGGGTTCCGCGAGCCCTGAAGCTCTGCGTGTTGGCTGTAAAGGGTCTAGCTGAGGTGGTATGGGAGGGCATGGAGGAGGCCAAGCTACCCTCTGGCGAAACCGTGTGCCACTTGAAGAACATTTGAGCCATAGTCTAAACTCCTTTAAGGTCAATATATAGCGTCCCCAAAGGTCATGAGTGCCCTGCAAACGGTTGTTGCAATACTCTAGGAGTTCAGTCACCTACATAGTGGGAACAGGGCTAGGGGCTAGAGCATAAATGTTTATGGCTTCGGGGGTTTGGGCTTAAAAAGATGGAAACCGGCTTGGTAGGCACTTACTTTGTAACATAGGAATCAGCGGCCCATTGATCGCTTTACATACTGTAGTATTAAACACACCTGACCCCTAAATGAAATAGGTGTCCCCAATGCATTTGAAACTTGCGATCCTAGCGGGAACAGTACGTTTTAAGGGGTGCGGCGGCCTCTGTTTTTTGCGGGAAGGGATGGTGTCAGCAACTCTGGATCCAATTTACAGGCGCTGTGCAGGTGATAGCTGCATCTTGGCAGCTTCATCTTAGTGTTCAGGGTTTAGGGTTTAGGGCCCTAAGCCCTACCTTAACCTACCAAATCCTACCAAAACCTACTTTTTGTAAGTTCCCTATAGATCCTTTACCAGGGCTCAAAATAGGACCCTACAAAAAGGTAGGTTTTGGTATGTCAAGGTAAACCCTAAACCCTGCCATATATCAGGATGTCCCTAAACCCCATAAACACTCAACCCTTAACCCTCAACCCTAACCCTAAAACCCTTAACCCTAAAGCCCTGAACCCTAAAACCCTAAAACCCTAAGCCCTAAAACCCTAAACCCTAAAACCCTAAATCCTAAATCCCTGAGCCCTAAAACCCTTAATAACCCTAAACCCTAAGCCCTAAACCCTAAACCCTAAATCCGGATGTCGGACGTAGGGTTTTTTGGTCTAGCATCCCGTGAGCCCTACCAAATAGCCTAAAGTAGGGACTACGTACTGAGGAAACGTTAGGGTTTAGGGTTTAGGGTAGCCTAAACTCAGTGGGCTCCAAAGGTGGGGTATAGGAAAAGCCCCACTATAGAAGAGTATATGCTAGGGATCCTTCGACCCACCTACCTTCATCCCACCTTTTGCGCCCCCTAATAAACCCTAAAGCCCAAAGTAAGTATGGCTTGTGGATTTCGAGCCGTGTGGAGTGGGTTATAATACCGGGCCCTAAACCCTAAACCCTTCTTCGCCCAATCTGTAGCCCCCGTAGGAATCATCTCTCACTTTTCTTTTAGTTTACCCTTGCGAATTATTAGACATAAGTTTTGTGTATGCCTCTCCCACAGCTTCATGGGTTCAACTAGTACCCCCCTCTATACTACCCCCCCCTAGGTTCCCCCTTAATTAACCTTAATTAAGCCTAATTATCCCTAAATAACCTTAAGGGGTGAACCTAGGGGGGGGGGGGGTGGTATAGAGGGGGGTACTAGTTGAACCCATAACAGTTTAGGTCATCGCCGAAGCGATTGATAGAATTGGAGGTACTGTTTAGGGTTTAGGGTGTTGTAAACCCTAGGACTGATTAGGGGGGGTGCTTTTTCCTCCGTTAACAGTATGGGGAACCAACCTACATGAACTGTAGTCTAAACTCCTGGAAGGCTGGTTGTAAAGGGGTTTTTATAGGGAGCGTTATAGGGGTTATTAAGGGGATACTAGGAGTTTCGAGTATAGATCATCAGTATCTCAGAACCCCCTTTCGACCGGCTGTGATGTTTACTTCATGGTAAGTTTTAGGGTTTAGTTTAGGGTTTAGGGGTTCAGGGTTTAGGGTTCAGGGGTTTAGGGGTTCGGGGTGCTGTCGAGCCCGAATAGCCATCAAACAAATGCCCTCAAAGTCAATAAACATCCTTAGGTAACTAATGTCTCCCACAGATTTATTCATGTAAGCCAGTATACTAGTAGTTTCCATTCCCTTTTCCATTATTTCTTATACAAATACAATTAGCTATAGCGGCATACATCCCTAAACCCCAAACCCTGAGCCCTAAACGCTAAACCCTGAACCGCTACTTGGAGGTCCATTGTACTTATAACCTACTTAGTAACTGTAGTTATAACCTAAATATAAGTCCCATAACTATAGTTACCCTAGATAT